CGATAACTCATCTCGATCTTTTTTTATCGATAAAAAACCTTATCGAAACCCAGTTATAAAATTATATCTTCTACACCTTTATTGCTAGAGTCTCCAAATTTTTAATGTATGCTTATATGCAATTTATACAGTTTCGGTTTTTGTTAAAATTTACCCCCACCTCTAAATTCACCCCCTCACCCTCACTTTTGTAAAAAGCGTATTTCAAATACTAGAGACTTGTGCTTTGGCAATTACATGCATATTCATGTTATAATCATAATCTAAAAGTTTCATGAAGATCGTACGTCCATAAAAAAAAGTTATTAAACAATTAAGTTCTCATAGTAAGCGCACACTGCAGCCCATGCGTGTTTATGCGTGGTTGCTTGTATGTGTATGTGTGTGTGTATGTGTGTGTGTGTATGCGTTTGTGTCTGTATGCGTGTGTGTGTGTATGTGTGTCTGTATGCGTGTGTGTGTATGTATACCTGTGTGTGCGTACGTGCGTGTGTGTGTGTGCGTGTTTTTTGTGTAAGCTGAAAGTCGCGAAAAAGTATTGAAATATCTATTGCTCCAAGGGTTCAGGGGATCTCGTAGTCGAGCAGTCTCGACTAGAGCTTTCTTACTTGTTATAAATGACCTTCCTAGCTGTATCTCTTATTAAACTCGTAAAACTTTGCCTTTCGTACTCCAGTGCGAATGGACATCTTTACCTTCAAAATGACCTTAATGCATTTCAACTTTTGTGTGTGGCGAACCAGTTCATCTTTACAGTCAAAGATTTTGATGTGTTCTTTGACTGTAAACTAAATTTTAGTCTTCATATTTCTACCATCATCAATGAATCTAAAAGTGTGCTTGGCTTTAAAACGTTGGTCTAAAGAATTTAATGATCCTTTTATCACCAAGCAATTATTTATTTCGCTTGTGCGTCCTATTTTAGAGTATTGCTCAGTTGTATGGTCTCCGCAGCATAAACTGTATCAGGATCGTATCGAATCGGTCCAAAAACAATTTCTTCTTTTTGCCTTAAGAGATCTTAGATGGGACAGTAATGTACGATTACCGTCTTATCATAGTAGGCTTCAGCTCATTAACCTTCCATTGTTAACCAATCGTAGAACAATTTTAGGAATTGTTTTTCTGCATAAATTGATTAACGGTGATATTGATTCGCCCTCTTTGTTGATGCGTCTTAATTTTTCAGTTCCATCCCGAACAACTAGACACTATCGTCTACTTAATTTACCGTTGTGTACTACGGATTATTCTTTGCATAGTGCGTTTTATGTTCTTTGTGTTAACTTTAATAAATATTATCACGTATTTTCCTTAGAGCTCTCTCTTCCTAAATTAAAATCTTTACTATTAGCTTATCTTAGGGATATCACCCGCAGTGCCCAGGCATAAGCACTGGTAAACATTTCGTTGCCAATATTGTGTAGTGATTTCTCGATTCTTCCCTATACTCCATTCTGGCTCTTCTTTTAATCTTTTCTTTCTTATTTTCTTATTCTTTGTTTTTCCTACTACTCTTGCAATAACTTGTAATACTTTCCTTTTTCTTTACTATATTTATTTATTTTTATTTATTTTTTTATTATTATTATTAATTTTTTAATGTCTTTTTTTTCTCTCTCTCTCTCTCTCCCTCTTCTTTTTATTTAAAATGTGTTTTTAAATTAAAAAGTACTTAATATTTATTTTAAGTTTCATTCTAACACTTTCTTTTCATAGTCTCAATAGTATCACTGACCACCAGAGCTTGCAAATGAGAGTTGAGCGTTTTTTCGTTTATTCTCTTTCTCGCATCATACCCAAAAAAAAATTGTGTAGACACGTCTCTCTCTGAGCGTCACTCTCTTTTTATACCCTGAACCCATTTTCAATGGGAAATCAGGGTATAATGGTTTTGTTAAAAGTATGTAACAGGCAGAAGGAGGCGTGGCACACCCCACAAAGTATATATATTCTTGATCAGGGCGACGAACTGAGTCGATTTGGCCCTGTCCGTCTGTCTGTCCGTCCGTCCGTCCGTCCGTCCGTCCGTCCGTCCGTCCGTCCGTCCGTCCGTCCGTCCGTCCGTCCGTATGTATGAACGCGTCGATCTCAGAAGATATAAGAGCTAGAGACTTGAAATTTTTTTTCCTAGGTCCGTGTATATCACGCGCATATCAAGTTTTTCTTTATATATCGATAACTACTCCCGATATTTTATTATCGATTAAAAACCTTATCGAAAGCTAGTTATTTAATTATATCTCCTACACCTTTAGAGCTAGAGCTTCCAAATTTTAAATGTAGACTTATATATATTTTATACAATTTCGATTTTTGTTAAAATTTACCCCCCACTCCTATTTCCACCCCCTTATCCTCACCTTTGTAAAAGGCGTATTTCAAGTACTAGAGGCTTGTGCTCTAGAATGTAAACACATTTTTACCATATGATTACGCCCTGAAAGTTTCATTAAGATTGTACGTCTAGAAATTAAATTATTCAACAAATAAATTCTTATAATGTTGCCCACACTACAGCGCAGCCCAAGCGCAGTCGCTGCTTACTGCGCAGTTAGCAGAGCGCATTGTAATACGTGCGTGTGTATGTATGTGTGTCGAAAAGAAGTGCAGACTGATTAGAATATCAGATTAGAGGGTTCAGGGTATCTCCTAGTCGAGCAGTCTCGACTAGAGTCTTCTTACTTGTTTCTTTAGCATCTGTTTCGCTCAGACGCAATGCGATCACTCATTCGTGTGACGCTCTCACATGAGTGTCGCGTAAAACTAACACGATTTTCCCTCACACAAAGCTTCTCAGCAAAAAACACTTTGACTAACAAACTCAGCAGAAAATGTTTTTGCCTTCGTGTGCATGTAAATACACGCATACATACATACAAAAAGAACGCAGCAATCGCGCGTGATTACCCATACAAACGCAACTTACCGTTACTTCTTTAACTCAAGCAAACGATCAGTGTTTGACTTGAGGAAACGAAAACAGAAACAACTATCTCCCTCAGAGCGCGAGAGAGATAAGCCAGACGCGACAAAAACACTTTCTGTCTGAGTATTTTTTGCCTGTGTCACTGAAAGACACTTTTTTGCAGACAACGAAAAAGTGTTAACAGTTTTTTGCGAGCTATGCTGACCACATTTGGCTGTAAAATGGGGCATAACTGGCCGGACTGGCAAATAAAATACCCCCTTCGTTTTGGTGATACTATTGTCATTGATTCTGTAATTAATTTAGGCTTTTTAATTTTTAGCTGACTATCGTTATGTCAATATCTTTAAAAAATAAATAGCTAAGTTCTTTTAATATTCTAATTTTTTAATTTTAGTTGACTCTAGTTTTGTCAATATCTTTAAATAAATAAATAAATTCAAATTTGGGTGCAAAGTAAATGAAATATTAAAATGATTCAGAAATAATTTAAAACTTTTTCCCTATACAAAAAATTATGAATAATTAAGAAATGTATGAACGTAACTAAAATTTAAAATACAATTATTCTGCACTATTATTACGTTCTACGCAAACATTAAAATGAAATAAAATTAGGAACAGTATAATTTCAAATATATCGTTTCTTTTTCAGAAAAAAATTAAAATAAATGTAATATGTTTTATATTATTTTTATATCATTTATTTATTTATTTATTTATTTATTGTTATCCAGGATTAATTTTAAATAACAATTTGTTAAGCCAGAGCGACAAAGGCCTTCAGTCAATTATTTTTTATGAATGCCGCGATTCGGGCACTATAAATGCCGATTGCCACGCCCCTAGTGGCCGTAGACTCCTCATTTTTGGTCAGTTCTTAGAACGAGCAACCGGTAACCTAAATGCAAAAATTGAATTCATGCGCTCAAAAAATGTGAAAATTACAGGCCTAAAAACTATTTTTGGGGCATCGATAGGAGGCTACCAGTAACTCAACTATCTAAGTTTGAAGCTTCTAGCTATTATACTTTAGAAACTATAAGCCTTTGCAGTTTGCCACGCCCCCTATAGGCGGACATATATCTACCCTAGCTCGTTGGACTTGGGTCAGCTCACGTGTAAAATTTCAGCATTCTAGGTTTACAACTTTAGGAGATACAGTTTTATCCCATTTGCCAGGCCACCAATGGGCGGATATATATCCGCCATAGCTCGTGATCTTGGGTGGACGCGGACCAACAAACCAAATTTCAGCTTTCTAGCTCTTCAACTAACATGATTTCTGGTATATCGGAGAATGCATAACAGCTTAAAAATCGGAGATATATACGAGTATGTGTTCACAATTTCAAGTCTCTAGCTTCAATAGCGCCGAAATAGACTGCGTTCATACGGACAGATGGTCAGACGGACGGAAGGACACTTTCGTGAATGAGTATTAATATGTAGAAGATATAAATTTATACTTATTTTCGAAAATGTTATTAATCGATAACAAAATAACAGGATAAGTTATCGATTTTTTTAGACAAACTCGATATGCGCGCGTAAATATATATAGACATAAAAAAAATATTTCAAGTCTCATTGCTTATCGCTCATAGCTTATCGCCCTGATCAATTTGTACGGTCTGTCACGCCCTCTGCCTGTTACAAACAATTCAAGACAACCATTATAGCCAGATTGCCCATTTTCAATTATCCGCAGCACCGCCTAGCTCGTTTCCTTCAATACCGGAGTGGCTAGGGATCCAATGTGCTTTATATTACAGACAAATTTTGTTTGTGGATTTTACAGATAGATTTTATGGATACTAGAGAGTCGAAGTAAATTACATATGTATTTTCCCAATCTATTTTTAATGAACTTCGTAGCATTGAGAATGGCTATAGTTTCAGCTAATAGGATAATTGTGTTAGGCAGGCAGACAAATAGGCAAAGAAACACACAGTACAAGTTGCATACTTTTGAAAATTGAAAATTCACTAATCTGCTAACTTATATAACTTAAATATACTTTTTAACATTTTTTTTTAAATTCATGGAATTTACATTTTTTATTTTTAGGATTCCATAGATCAATGGAGAAAAGTTTTTGAAGTGTCGGGAATTATTTCTGTACTGACATATATATTTTACCAGTGCTTTGGTACTGCAGAAATACAATCATGGAATACGCAACGACGAGTTAGCAATCCGCGGCATGAGATGATTAAAATATTGTCAAAAAAAATGGAGAAAACACACTTTCCTAAAATTTAATAACTCATTTTTCTTTGTACAAATTACAATTAAATGTTTGTCGTGCATGTATAAAAATAGGTTTAGTTAATATTGAATACATTGTGTTTTAATAAAAATTGTATTAGATATAAAGCTTATAAATGATTTATAGTTGACCTGTAAGAACTGTTTTTATAATGACTGGTATCGTCAACTTATATTGGCTTAAGCTTTTGATAATCATTTTGATTTAAGATTTATAAAGCATAATTTGCTGATATGATGGAATATGGTTTTGTTATGAGTACATACATACACACACACGCATATATACACACACACGCATACACACACAAACGCATACACACACACACATACACACACACATACACAAACATTTACACACACCCATACACAAACACTTACACACACAAGCACCCACGCATAAACACGCATGGGCTGCAGTGTGCGCTTACTATGAGAACTTAATTGTTTAATAACTTTTTTTGTTTACATACTATCTTCATGAAACTTTTAGATTATGAATTTACTTGTATGGAACTGCCAAAGTTATTATATTCACAGACCAACAACCAATAACCTTTGCTCTAAGTAATAAAAATCACAACGGGAAATTAAAACGTTGGAAGAATTACTTAGAAGAGTTCAATTACGAGTTAAAGTATAAGCCAGGAACCACTAAAGTAGTAGCTGACGCTTTATCAAGGAACCCAATAAACGAAGTCAATAGTACAGAAACCACAGTTATGAGTGATGAAAGTTCGTCACACAATCTCATCCCCACAATAGAAACACCTATTAACGTTTTTAAGAATCAGCTATTCATAGTAATCGGCGGAAAGCACGATTATAAATTCGAAACTCCCTTCCCTACATACCATAGACATACAGTAACACAGCCCCACTTTACCGAAGACGAATTAATTGACATTTTTAAGAAACGACTTGACCCAAGACTTATTAACGGTTTATTTACTCCAGAACATATAATGGGCAAAATACAGGAATTCTACCCACTTCACTTTTCCAATTATAAAATACGATACACTCAAAAAAAGGTAGAAGACATTACGAGCGTCGATGAACAGTATAAAATTATAACACAAGAGCATAGACGAGCACACAGAAATGCATCAGAAAATAAAACCCAAATTCTAGAAAAATTTTTCTTCCCACAACTACACAAAAAAGTTAAAGAAATTACAAAATCATGCTTAACATGCAGAGAGTCAAAATACAATAGACACCCTCCACATCCCGCAATTCAAGCAACACCAATTCCCAAATTTCCAGGCGAAATCATTCATATAGATATTTATATAACAGAAAATAAGACTATTTTAACTAGCATCGATAAATTCTCGAAATACGTTCAAGTTAAGATTTTAAATTCAAGAGCTGCAGAGGATATAAAAATCCCATTAAGAGAAATCCTAATTGCATTCGGTATGCCCAGAACTGTAGTAATCGACAATGAGCGTGCTTTAAATTCAGCGTCTATAAAGTTTTTGCTGCAAGACCAACTAGGTATCGAAGTTTATACTACCCCTCCCTATAACTCAACAAGTAACGGACAAATAGAGAGATTTCACTCCACCCTGTCAGAAATAATGACTTGCCTAAGAAAAGACAATAAAGATATGAGTTTTACAGATACACTCTTTAAAGCAGTACAAGAATATAACGCCTCCTACCAATCAGTTACTAAAAAAAAAACCAGTAGAGATATTTTTCGGCACAACAGTTCAGGATAACCCAAAAAAAAAAAGAAAAGAATAGGAAAATAATATCCAACAAACTACTAGACAAACAAAAATATGACTTAAATTACCACAATAAAGAGAGACAGGAAACCAAAACTTACGAACCAGGGGAGATAGTCTATGTAAAAATAAACAAGCGCCTTAGTTCAAAACTCACACTCAAATACAAAAAAGAAACTGTAGCAGAAAACAGGAATTCAACCATTAGAACAGCTTCAGGGAAAATTATCCACAAAAATAACATTCGAACGTAACTTACAGGATATTCGCACCGCTATGTCTGGGTATAACCACAATCCTCGACTACTCACACTCTCAGTTAATTCCGATAAAGACAGGAACTTCGGCAATGCAGAACGGAACTTTCAAAATTATTCACGTAATTGACATTTCAGAATATGAAAAAATCTTCGGAACTTTTGAAGAAACTCTTAACAATATAAGCACCTCACACCAGATGTACCCACTGCTAAATTATGAACTAAATAGCGTCAGAAATGACTTGCGTAGACTCAAAGAGTGACTCTAACTACGTAAACGAGGTACGGTCGTGGGTCAAAAACATTGTTGCCACCCTATAAGTGTCCGCCCGTAGGGTACCGCGTAATCAGTGTGCATCGCAGGATCTTTAGTAACGGATACACCACTAATACTGGAATCTGAGGAAAGAGAGCAATCCGGACCATCATCGCGGGAGTCAACAATGCTAAAAATTATATTGTAAGCATAGTGAATAAGATTTAAAAACGAGAAAAAAAAAAACAAAAACATCAAACAATTAAGTAAAGAAGAAATAATCAAGAAATATTGAACTTTAACACTTAGTATTTAAGAAAACTCTAAAATTGTACTACTGAGAGACGTCTAGTTGCCCGGTATAGCGTATGGCCCGTGAAGCCATACAATAATAGTCAGGAAAATCAGTGCGTTGATCGCGTAGGAATTTACTAACATAAATCAAGATTTCAAGAACATTTTCTGAAAACAAACCATCATCATTTTCCGATTCGATAAAAATTCTTTAAGTCTGTCCGTGACCATTGACGAACTAACGACCGCATTCTCTAAAATAAACATGCCACCACCAGAAAATACACTCCCATCCACCAGTACAGGTGCCATAAAACCAACTTACTTGACCGAACCAATTGAGAGTACGATAGAGAGATACCTTAGGAAGATATTGTCTGAGAAAGGTGACGAGTTACTTAATCCAGGTACAACCGTTTCAGTCGAGCAAGATCAGACGATTCTCCCAAAACATATGGGACGAATCAACGAGTTAGACAAGTTACCAGACGTTGTAACAGTTTTAAAAGACTTTTCTGGGAATAGAGCAGAATTCACTTCATGGCGCAAAAGTGTAGACAGGATATTTGAGGCCTACTCTACTGTACAGGGAACACCAAAGCACTATGGTATCTTAATGGTAGTAAGAAGTAAAGTAGTTGGCGAAGCCGATGCTGTATTAGAAGCGTATAATACCCCACTAAATTGGAAAGCCATATCCCAATGTCTCACTGATCATTTTGCAGATCGCAGAGATCTTAAGACACTGAAATACCAACTCTATACTCTTAGGCAGAATGGGCGATCAATAGACGAATTTTACCAAGCCGTTTATTATCATCTGTCTCTAATATTGAATCAGATAAACAACCATGATTCATCTACAGAAACAGTAAGAGCTATTACCAAGATTTATAGGGACAAAGCGTTAGATACGTTTATCAGAGGTCTCAACGGAGACTTACCAAGGTTATTAGCCATCAAAGAGCCAAACGACCTTAAACATGCCCTTCACTTGTGCCGACTGATTGAGAACCAGTTGATTAGAAATTCCGTTAATCCCATAAGAGCCCCTTCGCTTCCTCCGAAGAACAATCATCAAAATAAAATTACTCAATCTTAATTTCGATATAATAACCCACATGTCCTAAATCAAACCAACTTCAATCCGGACTTGTACTATCCACCAAAGCCTAAGTTTAACCCCCAGAATTCAGGTTTCATACCAAGACCCATACACCAACAACCACTACAGTTCTTTAACGCACCACCAAGACCAATAGCTCCAAAGCCACAACCGGCTCCACAACCAATGGAAGTCGACTCGTCTACCAGAACCAGGAATGTGAATTATATGAATAGGCCAAATTATAACCAATTTGCTGGGAAAATACCCTTATCTTCTAGGGCAGAAAACCCATCCAAACAACAGCGACAATTTCACATCAATACTGGGGAAACCCAAGTGCAGAACGTAGATGATGAGGCTAAAGCTTACGCAAATGCATATGCAAACGCATACGCCGCCGAGGCTTATGCCGAGGCATACGAGCAGTGTATGAGTGCAGAGTGTATGCTGCAGAGGAGCAAGGTATCGTCGAAACACCATACGAGAACGAAGCAACCACAGACAACCAGTTTCAAGTAGAAATTTCTGACATGTCTGACGTCAATTTTTTAGCTTAAATCGTTCCTCGTTACCTTACTTCCAATGCAAAACGAGGGACGGACAGGTACTGAACTTCCTCATTGATACTGGTTCCAACCAGAATTACATACAGTCTTCCCTAGTAACCAACGCAAAAAAGAACAAAGAAGCTTTTTTCGCTAATTATATAGGCGGAAAAATAGCCATAACCCATCACATATTTCTGAATCTTTTTAACCTCAACACTCAAATCAGATTTTTCGTATTGCCCACTCTAAAAACTTTTCATGGTATTCTAGGCAATGATACAATGAAACAACTCAATGTTGTTATTGATGTCAGGAATGATATCCTTATAGTAAATGGCAGTAATAAATTTCGTATTAAGCAATTACCTGCACAAGCAGTTAACAATATAAAGGTCCGAACAAATCATATGTCCGATAGCCAGAAAAAAATAATAGATCGACTAATTCAAGAAACTAAACCCTTATTTGCAGACCCAGAGCAAAAATTAACTTACACGACTAAAGTAGTAGGAGAGATCCGAACCAATACCGACACTCCGGTTTACAGCAGGCATTACCCATATCCTATTGCACTAAAGCAAGAAGTCTAAAAGCAGATATCAGAAATGCTTGACGACGGAGTCATTAGACCCTCTAGATCACCGTATAACGCTCCAGTATGGATCGTACAAAAGAAATCTGATGCCTCAGGAAAAAAGAAATACCGATTAGTAATTGATTATCGCAAGTTAAATTTGGTCACAATCTCCGACCGATACCCAATGCCAGAAATAGGGGACATCATAGCCCACTTAGGGGACAATAAATTCTTCACGGTCCTCGACCTCAAAAGTGGTTTCCACCAAATTCCTTTGAAGGAGACAGATATAGAAAAGACAGCATTTTCTGTTAACGGAGGGAAGTACGAATTTACAAGACTACCTTTTGGTCTCG